CTCGCACTCAATCCCGTTGTCAAGGCAAAAACATGCTAATATTGGACACCTAACCGGAAACCAATACCATTGCATCTGAGTGACCCCGTGAACGCACTGAGTTGCTCCCCAGATCGACCCGAGTTGCCCCCGCAAGAGCGGGGCATTGAGCTCAACGGCAACCCCAAAAACATCTGACAGAATGGATGCTCGGAAGAAGAAGAGAAAGGTGCTCTTGATGGGTAAGAGTGGGTCGGGGAAGTCATCCATGCGCTCAATTATCTTCAGCAACTATGTCGCAAAGGATGTCCGACGCCTCGGTGCTACAATTGATGTGGAGCACAGCCACGTCAAGTTCATGGGCAACCTCACATTGAATCTGTGGGATTGCGGAGGGTGAGCAATGCATACTTGACTTCTCCCACATGGATCCATTCCACTAACACAAAGATCCCCATCTCAGACAAGATGCCTTCATGGAAACCTATCTAGCCTCACAGCGCGGCAACATCTTCTCAGACGTCGCAGTCCTAATCTACGTATTCGATATCGAATCACGAGAAGTTGAGCGCGATCTAGACACCTACCACGCGATAATCGAGGCCCTGCGCGAATTCAGCCCAAACGCCTACGTCTTCTGCCTCGTGCACAAAATGGATCTAATCCAAGCCGAGCACCGTCAACGAATCTATGACGAGCGCTCCGCCGTAATCCGCAGTCGATCCAGCGATTTCCGCGTCGATACCTTCGCAAGCAGTATCTGGGACCAATCGCTTTACAAAGCCTGGGCCGGAATCGTGCACAAGCTCATCCCAAACCTGATCGTCATCGAGCGTTTCCTAACAGCTTTCGCGAAGAAAATAAACGCCGAAGAAGTCATCCTTTTCGAGCGTTCCACTTTCCTCACTGTTACCTCCGTGACATCCGAGGTCGGCGAGCTCAATCCGATCTATGATCGTCATGAGCGGCTTTCGAATATCATGAAGGCGTTCAAGCATTGCGCTGCAAGAAATACACTCACTACACCGGCTTCAGCCGGCTTCGTCGTTATGCACACTAAAACACCCCAGTTCAACATCTTCCTCGGCCGTTTCACGGATAACACTTATATCTTCCTCGTTGTGCCTCCCGGCGAGGCTTCTTACAACTGCGCTGTGCTCAACACTATGCTTGCCCGTGAGGGATTCTCGAAAGCAGCTGCCGGCAGTGGCGGTGGTGATGGGTTCCCTCTGCCTCCGCCTGAATCAGCGGATGACCATGCGAATGGGTTGAATGGGAATAATCCTAGGTAAAATTGGGTGGTAGATGTGACATTCGGTCTGACTTTGTATAGCTAGGGGATAGTGGTCTTTTTGCCCTCCCTTTGGTTTTGATTCTTCTCGTGATTTCCGACAGATTTATGACAAAATTACAGCAGGCGCTGAATGATGGCGTTATGGAGATTAATGTATTTCATTTTTGATTTTTCTTTTCTTCTTTCTTCTTTTTCAACTTTCTGAGAATTGAGATACCCTGTGGGATTTCTTTGTACTTGTTTTTTTTTCCTGAAAAATATCATGAAAAACTATCTAGGTACTATTGACAGGCTATCAGGAGCGCTCTCGAGTTTTATATATCAACGTTTCCTCGAGTGTTCCATGGCAGTTTCAATATCCATCTTACAGACACTATATAAAGTCCATTGCTGATGTCAACCAGACACATTCCAAACTAAACTGTTCTTCAAAAAGAAGAATACACAACGAACTTCTTCACTCTATCTCAAATTCCCTGTCGTATTCCGCATAGAGGCTGAGTTGCTACGATCACCCGAGAACAAGACCTTGAACATTCATTTACTTGGAAATACAATACTGGAGTGTCATAAGATCCCATCCGAACCATCTATATTTCCTCGCATCCGATGCATAAAGCGGCCAAAGGCAGAAGAGAGAGTAAGAACATGGGAGGGATTTGATTATCTATCGGACCGGCCGGCCTCAACGAAGGATGAAAAAAAGGGGGAGCAAAAAAGATAACGAGGGCAAGAAGGGGAACGGGGCTGTACAAAATCAAATCATCCAGATCGCTCGAATATTTTTCATTGAATTTCTGGCATGCGCATGGCAATGTCGCCCGACTGTGTGATGTATCGCACCCAGGGGAGAGAGGGGTATTGCAGCTGTGGTGATTGTTAGCGATGAATTTAAGAGATAAGAAGGCCGTGGGGATCCACTGGTGGGAAAGACTTACCTTCGGTTCGGTGATCTTCAGATATCGTACTTGGATACCACTGGTCGTGAAATAGGGGATCTCGAACTTGACGTTAATGGGCCGTTTCGCTTTGCCTACGCCTCCGGCTCCGCCCATGCTGCCTCCAAATCCACCGGTCATACCGCCGCCGCGCTCGTCGTCGCCCTTGACGGATGGTAGACCTAGCTCTGCGCGCATGAGGAATTCCTTGCCGCCGCCGAACTGCTTGATCTTCCAGATGATGGCTGACTTCTCGGGGGCGTAGTGCACGGTTCCGATATTTGTGCGGAAACGTGGGGAGTCTGCGTCTTCGGGGACGGGGACGAGAATCTCGACGTTGTTGGCGGTGCTGCGGCGTTTGAATTGTGCTTTGGCCTGTTGTGGAATCGAGGTCAGGGATTGATGTTTGCTGTACTGGGTTCGGATATTACCTTGAGCATATATTCAATTCGGGATCCCGAGTGCGATTCAACCACGCACTCTACCCAGATCAACGGCTTCACTTGTGTGTTCAGTCGGTAGCTCATGAGCTCGAATTCACCATCCGGAGGGATGAAACTGATTGTCCGGTCATTCTCGAAACGTGAGAGTCGGACACACTGGTGGAACTTGACGTCCTCCATCTCGACCGACTTGCCTCGTGTAGCACGACCCGTGGTCTCGAACATGGCTTTGTCGTTCAAGCCCAATCGCAACTCTGGCATACCACTCAGGTAGCACTTCATCTTGACAGCGCCTAGAATCTCAGACCGCAGTACGTTTCCATTTGCCGAGACCAGAAGATTGAGGGACTCAACCACGTCGAGGAAGACTTCGTTTTTGCGGTAGCGTATCCCCTCGCTACGCCAGGAGACAGCATTTGTGACGGCGATCGGTGGCCGTGCTTGGACATCCAACTTGTGTGACTCTTGGGTAATGTATCTGGTCATAGCGCACATCCGTCAGTTATGCTGTTTCACCACCACCCCCGCGGTACCACCAAGGCCCAGCTGCTTACTCTTGTAGAATCTTGCTCTCCGTTGTCTGTGGGTATCCAAAATCCATCATCTCATCCAGCAACTCGTAAATGACGACAAAGTTATCCCGGATACTCTCCTCCTCCAGTACCTTGAAATATTCGGTGAAGACCTCCACCAGCTTGTGGAGGAAGAGTAGAATTTCGGTGGCATTTGTGTTTCGTTTGGTCAATGCGAGGATATAGAGGTTGCTGTGACGGATGTAAAGGTACTAGACAGCGACACCCCTATGTCAGTAGGAGGAAGCGCACAAAAGGAGACACTCAGGAGTAGGACTGAGTGTGATCTGGGCCAAAATGCCCAGACTCGGTGGGACGCACGTTGATTCCCTCGTGAGAAAAGCAGGGAGGAACTGCTGAGCTTTCTTCTTCGGCATCACTGAGGAGGATAGGGAATTTCTCGACTGCGGACATGGGAATATCTCCGCGATAATTGCGGGCCAGAAGGGTCTATAGATGGTCAGCGGGGGCTTGTCCCTGAACGCATTGGCGATTTCCCTAGTGAAGAGTCGCATCGCCATATTTTGCACAATTCCAATAACCTACCTTGCCCTTGAGGTCGAGGAAGAAGAGTGCCGACGCCATGACGTGTCAATGGGGGTAAATAGGTGACGGGAGAGTGTTGATGATCTGGTCTCTTAAGGTGGGCGGGGTGTGAAAGTAAAAAAAATTAACAAAGCCACCTTATGCGCCTACTGCAGCATTGTCAATCAAGCAGTAAGAACAAATAAATTAGCAGCAGATGAGGTGAGAAATGAAAGGAGCAGATGGATGATTGTGATGCCCGCATGTCCCAGACCGGAGATGGACGCCAACCTCGAAACGGACTAGCGTCTAAAATCACACATAAAAGCTCGTCGCGCACTTTTTATTTTCTTCTTTCTTCAACGCTCCCAATAGACAGTTCAAGGCAGTACAAAGTCCTTGTGATTTTCTACAGCTACTCCGGCATTCTGTCGGAGTGCTGTAGTGTTTTGATTACTACCTTGCGATACAGAGGCGCGGAGACTACGATCTTTTTTGAGGGTTCCATAAGAGCTGGCCGAGTACTTTCTCTGTTACTCGGGCGGCGTCAGAGGAACCATACATTTCTATAACTTCAATTGATTTTTTTTTTTTAATTTCCTAAGATATCAAATCTTCCTTTTGAATTGTAAATTGCATTTCTGTTTTTTTCTTTTCTATTGTGATTTGCTCCATTTAGGATATTCTGAACTCGCAAGTAGAACTCTCAGTGGTATTTGGCAGTATACAAAGTGGTCTGAGAAATAAAGTGATATAAAAAACAAGTCTGTTTAAAAGTACATGTACAATCGTAGAGGTTCCCCGATTGAGGAGTGAACTCCTCAGTCAACCTACCACAGATGGAAATATCAAACAAGATAACGCCCTGAAAATGCTCCAACGGAGACCAATACCCCAAGTCTTAGACCCTTACGAGATAGACTTGAGTCCTAGGGGTTCAAGTATCCGCTCACGGGCCACCTTGGTGGCAACAACTCCTCCCTTCTCTAACGAAACAGCGCCGACAATAGCATACATGGTGTGCGCGAGAACAAGCTCAATACCGGAGGCACGGAGATCGTTGGGCTGCGGTAAAGACATTCGTTAGCTGGTGATCAAGAACACAAGGGTCTAGAAGGCATACCTTTCTGGGACTCCATCGGAGAACCTTTTGCAATTCGTACTTGTTTCCAAGCTCAGCAAGCTTCGACCGCTCGGTGAGGATCTTCTTGGTTTCACCGGACAGATTGTTCAATCCATCGAGAGCCGGATGGGTGAAGGGCACGCGACCAAACTCATCCTTGTTCTCTGCCGGTGCGGCGGCGCCTGCGTATGGAACGTCCTGCGCCAAGGCCAGCGATGCTTGCAGCTGCACAATGCGTTTTCCCAAGAAGGCCAATCGATCGTTGAATCCGCGGCGCCCTTGGTCGAAACTCTTATGTGTCACTGCCAACCACTTGGTCTCATCGGAGAGAAGTTTGTCGCCGCCATTGCCGAACAAGCGGATGTAGAATCGGTCGAGCAGTTGCGGGTCTGCATTGACGTGGAAGGTCGGGCGCTTGGAGTCAAGGTGCAGACTGAACGGGGCTTTTGCCGCCGCGGGAGTGTAGGACCATCGGGGCTTTTCTTGTTGACTGGACTCCTCCGGGGTAGAGGTCGCAAAGGTGCGGGATGGGATGACTCCCGCAATTGGGCGAGCGGCAAATTTGGATGCAGCGCAGGCGGTCCTGGCCGCTCGAGAAGAAAGATTCAAAGCCATGGGGTCGGTGGTCTGCGTGTCAACTCGGAGTTGATCGAACGGAAGGCAAAGAATTCGGCTTGGGCGGTGTGATTCTGCCGACTATGTCCTCAGGTACATATCTACACCAGACTCGTGAGATCTATGCTAACTGTTGACCACATCTAGGTTTTTTTTTTTTTTTTTTATGACTTTAGTTCTCATGGATACTTGCTAGGCGGACTCAGTTCTCCTCAACTGTTATCCCGGCAGTTTGCCATGCAGGTAAATAACCTTGGAATCCGGAGGCAACCGGGACCTTCACCGCTGCGTAGTATCCTTTGCTCGAATGCTTGACTTGTGCATCGGATCCAAAGGGACTAACGCTAATGCCGGCTGTGAAAGCCTACCACAGGCCAGCATGACTATGGCGATTGGAGGTGGAGCGTACACAGATTTCCGACTCTGCCATGCCTCGATTCATGTACGATCACAACGGCATATGACACACATTAATTAGGAACCTTGGAAGCCCTGTGATGTGGATGCTAACTTAGCGGTCAGGCTATGTTATCTATGAAAAATGCTTGAACATACATCAAACCGCTGTTGCGGGCCCAAATCCAGCACATATAGGCTTCCGTTCAAGTTAGGTAGGGTCCGCTATGACACAAATGCATTTGCCCCAGCTGCGGATTGCTGGCAGCTTTGACTCATGTTTTCTGCATGCTCCCATCATAGAAACTCGGGGCTCGATGACGGGGTGTAGGAGGTACTACTTTGTTCAGCAACATCCTTCTCTGGAAAACGTCGCCATTATGTGATCCAAAAGGAAACTTGTACTATCCTAACTTCTAGGCTATAGGTCCAATAGTTTTGCCAGGTAACATCATCCAGTTACATGATTGGATAGCGGGTGATGCGAGCAGCTGCGCAACAGACCCTGAGCGCGGCCCAACTATCAGGGACACAGACCTCTAGCCGCTACAGAGAAACTGCGGAGAGTCGAAAAGCAAAGAACAGAACCACAAAGAAGGGTTCCAGGCGATCGAGACCCATTCAAAAGGAGCTTTGGTATTCTTCTCGGAACTCAACCGTTCCGCAAAACCTGCCCGGTATGCAGAGGCCATAGCTCAAAGCTATCGGGAGCACGGGGCATAGTTGTTGAGCCTGCTCGGTTGCGGATATACACAGCTGGAAAGCTCGGCTGAGGCACAAGTGGTTGGCTCGAACGACCCATACCTTTCTTGACTGCAGAATAACGGCCCTGCTGTATCAGCGTACCCCAAACTTACCCCCTAGATTAGGAAAGAGACTGTCATGTACCCGGTGGGGAGGGGACAAAACGTGATCCACGTGTATTGGGATTCGGTCTTATTTGGCCGTGCTCCATAGGTAGACTTCCCTTTTCTCATATTGCCTCTTGTGGTCGTTGTAAGCTTCTACCACTTACATACACATTCTTCTCACGACTAAACAAGTTCCCAACCCACAATGGGAATTGTGGGAGTTCTAGATACAAGGGCTGGGGTATGTGAATGGCAGAGGATCTTTGATCATCGAAATATCATAAGGTTGGACACAAAAACACAAACCCTTTAAAGTTTGATGGCCTCAAATTCATACGTATACTTTTAAAAACAACAAACGTCTGTTCAACCCAAACATTATTAGTAAATAACATCGGATAAGTAGCCAACGACACATCATCTAGAAGAAACCCAGTGAAACAGGATTCATCAAGAGGCTGCAAGAAACCGAAGGCTCGGACGGCTGGTGAAACCCGCCTGCAGCGTTCTTTGGGGCACTTGGTCCGGGGGGGGGGGGGAAGGATCTATACCCGTCCATTGCGGACTTTATACTATTTGCTTTTTAGGAGAAGACAATAAGTTTTTTTAAGTGGGTCTACTTGTAATTCCCAGTCGATGCTTGCTTCCGGGGAAAAGAAAAGAAAGGAAATCAAAATATAATACACACGGCAACGGGTGCCACCATCTGTGGGTACTGTCTAACAGTTTATACATCAAGTCTTCAAGCGGGCCCTTGCAGGCTCTACCAAGATATTGATCTTCACGGATAGAAGCCATCCCCAAGGTCCACGGATAGCAACGGGAATAAGAATATCGCCAAACGGCTTCTTGTCGTGATCCTTGATTGGGATGTTCGACAGGATAGCGGTGTACGACTTGTGTGGAGGGCGCAACCTATGCCCCTGCTAAACCTGGGTTCTGGAATCACTTAAATAGACGAGATTAACCTTTTCAAATTTCTAGTCCTCGTCCTTAAAAACATCAGAGATCTTTGTCTTGTGTACTTTGCCTGTCTGTCGTTGAATATCTATACTTCCTTTCTCTATCAGCCCCAATCCGAGTGCTCCATTCCACTATTACCAGCTTCGTTCCATACCTTTCGAATATTCCAATGGCTTGCTACGCTACTTTTGCCCATGGCTTCCAGGCCACCCCTTCATCGCCGGCCCCGACATGTTGCACCCTTGCAGGATGCATCCTGGCTTGTGGTCACTCGGTGCAAGACCCTCCCTCACCACGACCTTTCCCGCCCAACCCACCTCCTAGTCCTGCTTGAAGGGCAGTTGATTTGTCTTTCTTTGTTTGGCGTTGAGGCGACACGGGACAATAGGTGAGTGTTGTTTATGCAGCCATATAAAATATCTATATCCATTAGATATATATTAGCTAGTTCACGGGATGATATGAGCAAGTACTGACTCACTTTATAGATCATACTCCAAGGCATTTCAACTACGGTCTTTATGACGGGGACATGCGTTCATGGGCGACTGGGATATCCTAATGCTGTCAATGCAATATCAATCGAGGGTGGAAAGATGGCAAAGTCATGAGGAACATTGGACCCTAAGGAGGCAAAATGAAGGGAAAATGTGGGAGAGTGAACTATAAGAGTGAATATGAATTTCGTGTGACGGATTTATATACTTGAGGTGCATTTCTCATTCGCATATCCATCGTCGGGCAAGATAGCTTAATGGAACTGTACCAAGTGATACCGACTGCATTTGCACATTGATACATATATGTCAACAAACATCCAGAGGTAGACTACGAAATCAGACGAGGATTGAAAAGTCTGCACAATTTAAGCCTTTTCCCGCCGTTTTCCGCTTTCTGTCTAGAAAACTGGAGGGAAAAAAAGAGAGCTTATCTCGAAAGACACATAACAAGACGACCGAAAGACATAACAGAGCCGTATGAACGGCCGAAAATTCTTGTACTTGTAGATTCAAATCATGCAAGTAATCTAACCCAGTCCGATCTCAATTTCCGATAGAGATAAAATAAAAGTTGAACAGAAGAAAAACAATCAGCGCCTTTTGAGCTTGCGCCAATTGACCAGATTCGTGTATATTTGAGAAAAGTCACTTTAATAACACATAAGGAAATTCGGAGGTATGAGGTACGGAAACATTTAAATAAAAGCAAGACCAACAGCACTGGCAACGCTGAGGCCAACGACAGTCCAACCAGTCTTGATGATCACAGGGTTGGTGAGACCACGGCCCAGATCCCACATCAAGTGGCGGATACCGTTCATGCAGTGGTAGGTGAAAGGAAGGGCAAGGGTGGTTTTGAGGAGAACCTTAGCCGCGAGAGGGAGAGCACCCATGGCGGCGACCATGGAGGCCGATTCGAGGTGCCAGCCGAGAGCGGGAGAGACGAGGTAGGCAGTAGCCCAGAGGTACAGGGAGCCGGAGAGAGCGACACCAGTGATACGGTGCAAGGAACTGCCGATCCAGCCGATCTGGGGCTTGTAGATAGTAAGGTGAGGGGCAATAGGGCGCCGAAGACGCTGCTTGACGAGGATCTGGCTGGGGTCCTCGGTGTTCGGGGCCGAGGTGACTTGTTGTCTATAGACCACCAATTCTCTGGTTAGTATGGAATTCTGGCGATTGCAGATGACGTAGGATTTCGAGAGAGGCGCTTGATCCGAGGGTCGGCGAAACAATTGAAACTCGTCGTTTTAGCACTGGGTAACTGACCTCGTCTGGACGTTCTTGCCGAGGGCAACGGCCATAGGGGAAGCGCCCATCATAGACGACCGCATAGCGAACGGCTGCTGGACGGCAACTGTCCGGGGATAAGTTAGATCGCAAATTCGGACAAGGTAGGCATTGGGGGTAAACATACGCCGTCGCATCGACTGCTGGACAACCTTCTGAGAGAACATTGTGATTGCGGAGTTGAGATTGTTCTGTTTGATCAGGATAAGAAATCCCAAGTGGCTCGCGAACGATCGGAATCAACGGACGACCTCGGGTACGGGAGTGTAGTCACGGGACTGGAACCCGGTAGTCAATATCTGCCAATCAGATCGGGTCTATTACCAGCCGGAGTATCTTTCTTCCCGACGCGCTACTGCAGTCATGTGATCACCTCGCCTGTTTTCCCACTTTCTTCCGTCCGCAGCTGCTCCTTTTTTTCTCTTCCTCAAGAGTCTCCGCTCACGTCGTCTACCGGTTTTGGCTGGGATGATGTCGTCGTGTTTAGCTTTCCCTCACTGACTGCGGCTTTCTGTCGTGGACGCCGAGGGATCTAGAGGCTCTCAGAAGGAGAGTCCCGTCGTTAATCGCCCGTTCCACTCTACCAATGAGGGGAAGGGGTTTCATATTCAGGGATACATACTACATGTATCACATCACTTGATGTTTGTAGATTTGCCCGGTCCTTTGGACATATCAAGGTGACTCAGAAGAGGTACTGCGACTGCTGAAAAGCCTACATTGGCCAAGGAGGAGCATCCAGCTGAGGCATTTACGTTTTTTTGCGTAATTGTCATGTTCACTCGAGTTATGCAGCCATCTACAATACATAATGAATAATTTATGGGAATGGTCTCTTTTCTTGCATCCGCCTGTAAAATATTGTCAGCTGTAAACCTTCCCAACATTGAAGGTTGGAGACGCGGCCATATACATTGGGTCCTGTCACATGTCAAGGGGCAAAACACATATACATCTTTCTCTTAGATATACAAGGATTATATACTTGTTTTACATGTCAATAATTTGATTATTCACAAGCAAAACAAAGGGCTCTAGGGCTCCTGACATAAAGTCGGCCCCGTCTGCTCAGTAATCAAAAAATTGAGCCCACAGGCGCCCAGCCTTGGAGGTGCCTAGATGCAACCTCGGCACCTCGGACCTTCCCCACAACAGAGAGGTCCGCGGCTGTAACATTGGTTTATTATCTGGTCTTCTTGTGTTCAGAGACTTGATTATTTCTTTGACTCTATACTCTGAGAATCAAATAAGCGATCGTATTCATGTTAGTGTATCTGACCCTCGTTTAAGTTGCATGTTGTTTACTTAAAGTTACTGACTCCGCAATCATCAGATTAGATACCCCGACCTAACAAGATGCCTTTCAACACAGCCTTGACGCGAAAACTCGGTATTCGAGGTAGGATATGAATCCGCTATTCGTATTACCAGCCGCTGATCATAAATATAGTGCCCGTCGTGCAGGGTGGTATGCAATGGGTTGGATACGCTGAGCTGGCCTCGGCCGTTAGCAACGCAGGCGGACTTGGACTTGTACGTCGTACATATACTCTTCAATGAAAGTCCTAATTTTACACAGTATCTAACACTACAATCTAGCTCACAGCCCTCACCCAACCAACCCCCGAAGACCTCCGCAAAGAAATCCGCAGATGTCGCACCATGACCAAATACCCCTTCGGAGTGAACCTGACCCTCCTCCCCGCCATCGTTCCCCCCGATTATGCCGCCTACGCCCAAGTCATCATCGACGAAGGAGTCAAGATCGTCGAGACCGCCGGTAACAACCCGGGCCCCGTGATCACTCAGCTGAAGAAGGCCGGCACCATCATCCTGCACAAGTGCACGACAATCCGCCACGCCAAATCCGCCGTCAAGCTCGGCGTGGACTTCCTTTCCATCGATGGCTTCGAGTGTGCCGGTCACGTCGGTGAGCACGATATCACCAACTTCATCCTTTTGAGCCGTGCTCGTCAGGAACTCGGCATTCCGTTCATCGCCTCTGGTGGTTTCGCCGATGGACAGGGTCTTGCTGCTGCCCTGGCGCTCGGTGCTGAGGGTATCAATATGGGTACTCGCTTTATGAGCACTGTTGAAGCTCCCATCCACCAGAAAGTTAAGGAGGCTATTGTCGCGGCACAGGAGACTGATACTGCGCTTGTGCTGCGTCGGTGGAAGAATACCTCCCGTCTGTTCGCTAATAAGGTGGCTAAGGATGCATTGAAGGTGGAGCAGGAGACCAAGACTGGCGAATTCAGTGAGGTCCAACCCTATGTTAGCGGCCAGCGGGGTCGTCAGGTCTTCATTAATGGTGACGTTGATTTCGGCGTAAGTTACTTTTACTTCCAAAATTATGCATGTCTCGCGTGCTTTTGCTGACATTTTCGCCATACAGGTGTGGACTGCCGGTCAGGTTATCGGCTTGATCCATGACATCCCGACTTGCGAGGTCCTGCTCACCCGGATTGAGAAGGAAGCCCTGGAGGCCATGACCCGTACCAGCTCTTTGTTTACCGATGCTCCTTCCAGCAAGCTTTAAAGAGTTTTATATTACAGATGTGTATTTAGCTTCATATTGTTTGAAAAGATCCAATAGAATCAACTAGTTGGGGCTTTTATATTTACTTTTGACGACCTGGCTTTGTACATTTGCATTTTGGATGATAATTCCGGGTTTTTTTCCTATCTTCACTTCATGCTGCTCATGATCCACGTCATTTCCGGTGCTAAAATAACAGTTACCCACTATCCAAAGGGGTGGTTGGTCAACGGTCAATAATAAACATTCCCGAGCGAGGGTCCGTGATATTGTATCAAGGATCTGCACGCAGATCCTCGAATACTCGGGGCATTCCTTCAACTCCAACCTCCAACCATAATGATCAATGATTCCAACGCAATGGCGGAGTCTTTTTCCAAGCTCACCTCACCTACGTAACTGGAATAGAAATAGAAATAATGAGATGTTCTCTTCAAAGCCCGCCTTTTTATGCGAGGTCAAAAAGAAAGTGGAGACATCCTTGCATGCAGTTGATCATCTGGGGAATGCTTGAAAACAAGCTACGTTTCCGGTCCAAACGATTGGCTCTGTTTCAGTTGCTGATTCGATCTCTCTATTGTGCTTCCTGTTGCCGCGGCCTTCGTGCATGATATCATTCACCATGATTGGTCTCTCCCGGGTAACCCTTACCACCGACCTATACTGCGATGCTTGTTATGCTTTTATTGTGCAAAAATTACAGTTTAGATAATGAAGATTAGAAGGTATCGAGGTAAAAGTAGGTGTGCTCGAGGTTAGAATACGCAATCCATCTCGAGAAAGTAGATCAAATCCCGTTTCGTTACACTGCAGTCGATACAAACCAGCATTACACCGTGAAGATCTAGCTAGATACCGACATACCTCGTCCGACGTATCTCAAGCCCAAAATTGAATGCAGTTGAATTTAGGTCCTATCTTTCCCCTTCTGTCCCGGAATTCATTGTTCGATTTATATATCCCAACCCCATTACTCTACCAGCTATTCCAAACTCCATCAATATCAACATCAAACCCAAGACACCCAACCAGATAATACCCACCACCACACAGACACAAATCCCCACCCAAGCTCAACTTCCCCAAAATCCACAATGGGCTTCATATCCACCGTATCACGCTGCATGCGCAAGAACTGCCTCTCCAAAAGACTCTCAATAACAAGCACCAAACTGCACGACGAAGACTCAAACGATCTAATCAAAACAACTTCCGGAACAGCCTCGACCCGTGCAAGCATGGACTCCACCTCAACCATGGTCCACCACTCCTTCCACGAGGCAGTGCTACCATGCGAGTCCCCAGCAAACCATATGCAGATCAGGCCAGACGATGGAAATATGCGGACTTTGTTCGATGCCAATACCGCACCCTGCCATTTACCGACAGATCGCGCTACCAAGGCGCTATCTAGACCCGCGTATCCGGTTCTGAAATTGGATTGTCGGTCGCCTGTTGAGGCACCGAGGAGGGTGCTACAAGCGCCTGTAGAGATTACGAACAACCCTTCAGACAATGTTGGTGGTTATCTGGGAAAGGGTGCTTCAGGTGTTTCGTCGCCGGTAGCATCCCCGAAGTACTTTTCACCCACGCAGAAATGTGTGTCTGAGAAGAAGGATAAGAGGTCCATGTCGGCTTTGCTGAAGAGGCATTGTGGATTGAATGTCCCACGCTCGTCGATTTCGATTAAGTCTTCGCGCGGGCTACAGTCGCCGAAGTGGTTGGATTCTGCGGGGGTTACAGAGGAGGAGGGTTTGGTGGATAAGACGAATGGGAAGTGGGTTGAGGCGTAGGATGAGAAGAGGAGGAATAGTGTGTTTGGGATATTGCGGTTGATGTTTGTTAATTGGAGTCAGAATTGGAGTGAGTGTTAGTTTCATGTGTACATAGTTGGGATGGGAGTTTAAAAGTTAAGATTCAACGTCTATGTTTGTTTACATGGAGGTAGGTGGCGACTGGTAGAAGTTAGGGATCTACGGGTGATAAAAGAATCGAAACCAAGATAAAGGAAGAAGTCGTTAACTGAGCCTAGAGGAAAGAATCTAGTTCCCTAGTCATTTGCTCAAGGGGAACTTACAAGGGACAGTGTACGGCGAGCTGGACAGGGCTGGGGAAGCATCGAAGCTAGCCTGCGTTCAACTTTCTACAGTTTCGAAGCAGGGAAGAGAAGTCAAGCGAATATAATGAATTAAAGTAACGTATGTGAAAGAAATCCGACCCGAGACAGCAACTGGGTGGTTCCAAAGCACAAAACAAGAATCAGATGGAGCACACGGGCATAATCAGAAAATAATTTTAAAGGTCTTCTTTCTCCGAGGGATGCCACACGATACAGGTTATGATACACGAGATGCGAACTGAACAGGATATTCAAATGTCGGACAAAAGCCAAAGGCCTGCTTCCCATCCCCGAAATCGATAATCCACATCTCTACTCATGTCGAGCTCTGCACCAAGCTCCGAAGAGCCGGCATTATGACCAGTGCTTCTTGCATGATGCGAGAAAACATAGCGAGGCGCTTAGATGATAGAGCCAAGGGCAACACAGGGGAGGCCGAGACCGATGAGGTCGGAGTTCTAGTCGAGATGTTAGTATAGTTCTATGGAGTGGAATTCCTGGAGTACTCACGGCGCTGGAGGGAGAGTTCTGGCAGCAGGCAATGTTCTGCTTGCACTTCTGGTTGATGAGGTCCTGTGCGGCGATACCAATGATGGGGATCTGGAGGTCGAGCTTGGAGCACTGGTCGAAGAGTCCGAGGCCAGAAGCACCGGAGCCGGAGCCGATCAGGTTGCTGAGAGTACCGCCGAGCATGCCGGAGTTGATGTCGGTGGTGTCACCGGCGTAGACGGCCTTGTTGCAGCAAGAGAGCTGAGCCTGGTCACCACACTTGGCCTGAGCCTGCTTGACGGTCATGTTGTCAGGGACAGCGAAGCGAACGTTGGTGTTGCCCTTGTTGCCGACACCGTTGCCGTTACCAGCGCCACCGGCGGAGGGACCTCCAGGAGGAAGAGCGTAGACGGTGGCAGCGAGGCCGAGGACAATAGCGGAGATAGAGAACTGCATTGTGATCGTTTGGAATTGAACGAGAGAAGACTCGGAGAATTGAGAAGATTGAAGAATAGAGAATAGAGAAGGAAAGATTGAATGAGAGTGTTTGATGCTGATGAAGAAGAAACAGAATGAGGGCGATGAATCACCTCATCTTTATAGATTTTTACTGGCGGTCTGTGAGTAGCCCGGACGCCGTGTTCCAGGGCCAAAATGTTTTTGCTTCTCGAGATCATCTCCAGTATGTCCCCGGAATGCTACTGGGAAGGGAAGGGAGAGGAAGATCGCTCCACTCTGTAGGTCCTGTAGACCAACGAGGGTGCTCCTGTGGAGGCTCCCTGGTATGGATCTACTGCGAGGTTCTCACTTCACACGACTAGGGACTGCCCTGGCATTCCCTTCCCCCTCGCTCTCGTCTGGTCGAGACTCGTGCCCACAATTTGTCAGTAATGTTGGATGAAACCAGGTAAGTTCAGATATAGTATGCTATACCATTAATCTATAACTACACCACATTCATCGCCCATAAACCTAATCAAAATAAGCTTAAGCTCTTCATGTGGGTCTCTAAGGGTGTACCTAGAGAGTCGAGACTTCAATTTCCCAACACAAGGGGGTTTCTCCCTTTAATTTGACTTTGTCTGCACGCTTCGGGAGCTAAGGCATGTCACGCATACAATACTCATGGCAGGCGCCTGACTTTAGTGAGAGGCTACTAGGATTCTTCCTCTAACTGGCCCAGTGTTCCATAGGAGGGTCACCTGCAAGGGCGCTCACTGCACCTCGGGTGCTAAAGCTACGTAGGGAGAGCTAAGACACTCCCTTCATTGTTTAATTTCTCTTAAGCTGTAAGGAATTAAGCACCGTAATGCTAGTCACAAGCCACCCTGTGAAGTCTCCGATTGGGGGTTTCGCTTTACTCCTAGAGTATTGTTGATTACAGCCAAGCTCCCCCCCGGACGGCTTCTCACGGAACCCTAACTGGGATCTTTTTGCAGGGGTTGAGATTGTACACATTGTCCCCTTCTTTCAATTGTTAATCAAACAATCCTTCCCCTTGGTCTATACCTAGTCCGCATTTCTAGTCTACATTAGTTCTCAATGTAGTCTCATATCGCATTTTCAAATTAAATTTTCGATGACCTTGAGAATCTCCAGGATCCAGCTAGATTCATTTAATGTATATCGCAATTTATTCCTACATACGATAGACTTATTTTTGGCTTGGGTCTAACTTTTGCCTCCGCATAGTCACACTTGAATATGGACGATATGGAGAATGTAGTGCAAAGTGACGCCTGATATCCATTATGCTGTTTTGGTATGAGATAGTACGTCACTTTAGTAGAGTAGCTGTTAGTCAATGTTGTTACTTGAGGATAATTCCCCAAAGTAGTAAATTGTATACACAATATGAATTGATGAACTAGGCGGTGTTGTGGTAATTAGTCTTCACGCAATGGACATACCGAAGTCTCATATTTAGTTATTAAATAATTATACCTTCAAGAGATGCTTGATAGCAATTTCTTTTCTATTTTCTTCCTACTAGACTGGTGAGGTTAGGAATTGATATTTTTACAACAGAGATTCGAGAAATATATTCTAACGGGGTGCGGGTGTTTAGCAGAGTACTATATTTATACAAACAGCACCTAGAATATATATCTACAATATAGGCTTAATAATAAAAATACTATCTAAGTACGCAATTATTTAATAAATTTCACCGTACTATATAACTATAGATTTTAATACTTAGTTTACTACACCTACGCCTGGTCTAAATAGCTTGTGTGCCCCCCAAGTAGACTGACCCCCCAAGATTTTTGGTAAAAGAATAATTGGCAACCCTAGGTAATCCTATAAAAGATCTATCTATCTACCGAAAATATATGACTACGTCAATTTAAAATATGAAAAATCTCCCCCCAGAAATCAAGGGAAAAGATCAGACGGCGCATCTCCCGAGAAGACCTCTAGCCCCGAAACGAAATCATTCCACAGCGTCTTCGAAGTCATGGGCGCATTGCTATATGCCTGAACACCCGAAGCCAACAAGAGGTCCTTCATCTGGGGAAGTAAGGCATCCACCGCCTGTGCTTCCATTTCGCGTTGAACCCCCCTGCTGAGTCCCCCATGTTCAACATACCACGCAGAGTCCTGCTTCACAACTCCGCTCTCATAAAGGTTAAGCAAGCTCAGGTCAATATTTGCATCTATAGCAGCTTCATAGGCCATTCTGTGGCCAACTGCCTCAACTAATGGAAGAGCGAGCGGAAGGATATCCCGGTTGAATCTCCCGCTTCGGTGAGCCCCCTTGGCACCTTGTTGAAGAAGGTCCCTCGCTTCGGAGAATAGGGAGGCCTCATGACGAGCAATGGGGCTTCCAGGATCATTTGGTGGCGGCATTTGATACCGACCGATCAATAGTTCAGACGCGAGTCCTATATTCATTGTTAGTCTTTTCTCGAGCATTTTCAAAGGTTTAGACACGTACGGATGGCAAGGACGCGGATATCGCCCTCTGCAGTTGATGCACCACGCATTTCCAGCTAGAAAGATGAATCAGTCAAGCACAAGACGGGTAAGTAATACTGAGATCTTACCTCCATCTGAAGGAGCTGATTATGCTCATAATGTCCATGCCATCCACACCGCTCGTTCATAGCGTTGATGCTTTTGTTGAAATGACCAAGTGCTACCGCCTTGAAAGCTGTGGCTATACCATGGCGCACTCGGGGGTCCACGCTCTGTTCTCGGAACGCAATCGCTGCAGAAATGAAGAATGCTTCTAGCACGCTATACTGCGCGATGGTATGGAGGATGGGCATATGTTGAGTTCGGAAATCAATCACTGCCATTGGGTTTCCATCCTGGCCGCTGACAAGCCTGTTCCGGCTGAAAGATGCGGCATTGAAGGCGGCAAGCTTGAGTGATGGGACGACACACCCCGAGAGGAAGAGAGTGCCCACTGCAACGCGATGGATGGAGGATAAGAACCCTTCGCGCTTGTTTTCTGTTTCTTTTGCACTGCCAAGTAGGGCGGATCTTGGTAGACGGACGTGGTCGAAGTATGTGAGAGCGTGATCGACTGGATGGGCACCAGTTCGTTGAGGCAAGGCCCTTGTTATAAATTAGCGCTTATGGGCTAGGTATGGGAGTTTCGCTGGAGACTCACTTTGATATCACACCCTTACACATCTCTTTTCCGTTTCCAAGTTGGACTAGGAATGGCCGGATTCCGCAGTCTTTATCCTCACTCACAAGACGAGCCATTACAATTGCAACTACCGGAATACCTCCCCTCGGGGTAGTTGGTGGCATGACCCTGAAAGTATCTGTTAGCAAATTTTAAGATAATTAGACTCTTATATTTCTCGGCTTACTTTGCATCGTTTGGGGAAGGAGTATGAAGGTCGATGTCACCATCTGGCAGAATTGTTGCAGTTGTCTGTATATTCCGTGCATCTAATCCATGATTCACCTCGGTCAACATGAATTGTGCTCTAAATATCAACTTCCCGTTAGCTACAAAACTTGGAATGGTCCGTGTTTGAAGACTTTTGCTTAGGTATGGACTCACGAAATATCGAAATCCAAAGCAGATTGGAGTATCGGTTGAAGCTCTGGACGCTTCAAGGCAAAAGGAGCCAGCGTGCCCACAAAGAGATTGCACTGAATACTAAGCAAGGTAAACGCCCCACCATCGAGTGTCAATAGAGGCTCTCGGTGCAGCTTCCAGAACTTAGGGGTGATGTATAAGACATCCTTAAGCGTCAAGCCTGTTCTAGTTAGTGCTTGTATATACTGGTAAAGTAAATAGGTTGGGCATACCATATGCATTAGCAAAGGCCTTCGCCCTCTGATAGCTCAGTCTAGTAGATTCCTCCAGGCTGAAAGAGCGCGGGGCTGGTTTGAAAAGCCCTGAACGTGCTAGATCCTCCATTGCAGGATTTAACTGTTGTAGCTGCTGTAGCTGCTGCTGTATTCCGTTCTCCATGGTGGGAAAATCTTCTGTATAAAGAATATGGATAGATTTACGACCATGAAGCGAAGACTCGGAGGTAAATATACCACCAGAGAGAAACTGTTGTATACATTTCGAGTAGAGTTAGCCAGCCACATCCACCTTTCTTTTCGACAAAGCTGATCGGGGCTGAACTATGGCACATAGTACATTTGTATGAAGTACTCTGTACGGGTATAGGGGATCGTTAAAAAATAAAAAAATACAATCCTTGCCGTTTCTACCTTGCCATGCCAGCTCGGGCGAGAAGGGTCGCTAATGCAAACGCCTTTACTTGCTTTTTATTTTGCCAGCAATACCAATACCAATAATTAATATTACCCAACTACTAGTATGAAACCCACACCTTCTCCTGTATTTAATTGATTGAATGTTTTTGAAGCCATATCTATTATTGGTGGCTTGCATGCATTAGCGTCCCTTCTCGCCCAAGCTGACATGGTAGGATAGTTCAAGTACTGAATCCATCGGTATAAGAAGGCCTAGAAGAGATAAGGGCCGACAACAGATCTACTTGTCATTGGACGTCACCCTGGTCATTCCCTTCTTCCCATCCATGCGATCAAAATCCTTCTATGGATCTGGCTGAAGCAGTCCGAGACATCCAGGTCAGTGGCGCGTTAGTATGTAAAAGATTATGAACTTCAGCTCCGTGGTGTGTTCTCCGAATTTCATGACTGGCTGAGTCTCCATTCCTCATTGAACGATAGGGTGAATCAAAGGTACAGTCTCCGTAAAGAACTGAACATCAGTGGATCTGTTGACCGCGATGTACTTGGAACAAGATAAGGGTTTTAGGATGTTCTTCGCTTTAGCGGACCTTAATTGTGAGATCGACCATAAATGCCTCAGTGGCTTCAAATGTTCTTATCTTGTCGAAGTTTGCCGAGCAAGTTTGGTGGTCATAAAGTGTCCGCGTGTGTCCAGCCACACCTGGGCACAAGCATGTGATTCACAGCCACATGGTTACTATGTACCACTCTTCAATTTGGGTATCTTTTCTTATATAGATTGGTTATTGTAAGGCCAGTCCTTCGATGTCTTTTCATTGATCTTCTGAGAGGTTATAATAACATCTAGAGTTACTCTTATTAGCGATAATATACTGTATCACAGCATTTCTGTGCTTCTATGTACTTTCTTTGCGACAAAAGAACCATTCGGTGAGGCTTATGGCTTGAACACTGTCCCCCACTTTGATCCTTTAATCCACTATGAGATTTGCATCGGATGAAGATCCGAAAGAGGTACATGTATGCGAAGTAGATCTTAAATCAAAAGTCACGTTCGCCTAGCGTAGGTGGATATACTATTGGTATCTCCGATGAGGTACATATTACGAAGACGTATAGGTTCAAAACCCCCCTGTAAGGGGATTTTGATGCCTGGATACCTGAATTAGTACCGCTTTATACACCGCCTAATACAGAGTACTGTAAATTGCTAATACATCAACCTGCCTAGATGAAGCTTTTGGGCCGCATACAAATTCAGGTATCTCCATTATTTCTGGCGGTTGCAAGTCCAAAAAATTGAAGCTTAATAATGGAGATACTTATTTGTATGCAGTCCGAAAGCTTCATTTTTTTTTAGACTTGCAACCGCCAGAAATAATGGAGATATCTGAATTTGTACGGAGGTCAAAAGCTTCATTTTTTGGATTTGCAACCGCCAGCAGAATCAGGGTACTTTCATTAACAAGGTATATGTAATAGTAATTCAGGTATTTTAATTTTTCTGCCGTTCTAAATTAAGGCATTCCGGCATAAAATCCCCCTAAAAGGGGGTTTTGAACCCTGGCACCTATTCGTCTTCGTAGTGCATATGCAGTGGGATCTCCCAAATATTGGAGCAACGGTCTACGGAGTAAATGCTTACAATAGTTTGGCCCAATATTGGGGAGGGCCCACTATATGCATTGTCAGCAAATTCATATCCAATGTTTCCCGAGCCCTTGATAATTCCGTGCGAAGACTAGGTTATCTCCATGAAGGCTAGCTGGAAGTGGGCTGTGTCCCGTATATGGCACATAGGTAGTCTGTATGTGGGCTATTCATGCTGTAGGCCATATTCTTTCCACTATCCTCTAATGAATACTCCTTGCCCAAGCCACTCCTTTTAATGTTGTTTGTATCTTCCTTTCTCCCCAATCTATGCAAGTGTAGTCTGGCTTAGTTACAAACCGGAGATATCCACGATTACTTTATCTAAGCTCACGCTGCATAAGCTAACGGATTTAAATGTTGCTGCCTAGGTGGCGATTGGTACTTATTCATATCTGAAGGAGTTTGCTATACCTGCCTTCACTCATGCATATAGATATACATTCGGCGTCTCCGTTTTGATTAATAGACAAGTATTAGATATTGGGAGGCACTGCTCTAGGGTTAGCTTATACTATAATGAAAGAGTTTGCAGAAATTATTGATTAGCCTAGGATGACCTGAAGTTCAGTTGTAGGAAGATGAGTGCAGCTAAATTGGTGCGATTACAGATATCCTGTACTTCTAACGTTACGTCCACCTCAATAATCTTCAAGAATAAACAAGTCGTATATAATTATTCTCGGAAAATAAGTTTTAATCAGATCGAGATCTAGTTCGCATTGCCTTGCATTCAATAATTGCAATGGAACAACTAACCATCGATCATAATGAAGCAAAATTCATTTTCTCAGAAATTGAACAAGGAGAATATTAAAAGAGGAGCGCCATAAGGGCGATGCCAAAAGCCCAGAAACTGCAAGTTTGTAGTTTTGACCCAACATTGGCAAGAACGACAGTTTCAGTTGGCTTAGATCCTGTGGGCTTAAGGGCAGTCGGTGTAAGAATAGAGGTGGGGTGTGTCTTGCAGCTGGTTGTCAATGTCGAGGACGACACAGTGGGCTTAGGGGCAGTCGGTGTAAGAATAGAGGTGGGGTGTGTCTTGCAGCTGGTTGTCAATGTCGAGGACGACACAGTGGGCTTAGGGGCAGTCGGTGTAAGAATAGAGGTGGGGCGTATTTTGCAGCTAGTTGTCAACGTCGAGGACGACACGTGCGCGAAATGGCTAGTTTCAGAAGGAGGACTGGTGGTAGTAACAACCACCAGATTCACAGATGTTGTAGAGGAACAAGTGACCGTGCTGAACCCAACGAGGGGAACAGTTGCCGTGTGTGAAGCCCAGCTGATGGCGGTACGAGGAGCCTGGGGGACAGATGTAGGTACACCAACAGTCGCAACAACGGTACGTGTGCTGGGTGTGATTTTAGGGCCAGCAGTGGTCTTAAGAACTGGGTCGGAAGAAGTGCAGGTTGTAGCGATGTCTACAATAGCAGGGTTCTCCGGAACGAAGGGGGCACAAATGCCAGCGAAGAAAGCAAGAGCGGAATCTTTCTCCTTCTTGGAGCTACTCCAGGCCCGAATGCACCCGCTAACTTTGTCCGTGAATTCGGTAGATGGGCAGAAGCATGCAGCATCGCTGTTGGAGTTGCACTTCGGAATAGTGAGCCATGTGTTGATACATTTGGGTACCAGGTTAGGGCAGGGAGCGGTAACAACGGGTGGGCTGGGCTCAGTAGCGGTAGTGATAGAGCTCGTGATCGGGGGATGCGAGGGCACAAGATGAGGAGAGGTTGTGCTAGGGTCGGTTTCCGCGGGCTTATACGGGCAGACTGTCGTTGATAATGGGTATGTAGAGGCAACCAAAACAGTCGAATGAACAGGACAGTTAGTGGCAGTTGGTGCACATCTAGTGATGGTGATCTCCTCGGTAGTCCAGACAGTGGAAGTAGTCATATGCCAGGAAGAGGGTCTAGTCGTAGGATCCTCAGGAGTAGACGAGGTCCAATGGAAATGAGGTAAGGAAGCAATCGAGCTCGGGGGATCCGAATGCACAACATGAGGAGAGGTTATGCTAGTTTTCGTTTCCACGGGTGTAGACGAGCAGACTGTGGTTGACAGTGGATATGTAGAGGTAACTAAAACAGTTGAATGACCAGGGCAGTTGGTGACAGTGGGTGCGCATTTGGTGATAGTAAGCTCCTCGGTAGTCCAGATTGTGGAAGTCGTCATTTTCTGGGAAGAGTGGCTAATTGTAGGAACTTCCTGCGTAGTAGAGGGCAAATGGAAAGGAGGATGAGAAACAGTCGGGCTCGGGGTAGGCGCCAAGTGAGAGCGAGAGGGGTCAAGAATCGGGCCGGGCGACTTGGATCCAGTAGAGCAGTCAAAGTCGATCGAATGGATCTCGATATCACAATCGCCGAACTTGTTCTCTTGGGGAAGCGTGAACTCTACTGATACAGCACCGCCACACTGGTCATTCCCGACATCAGTTCCCCTGTACGAGCTAAAAGCGACATGATGACAGGAAGAACCATCCGGCATCTCGTAGATGATGAAAACATCGGTGCTCCGGGAAGTTGAAAGATGGAAGTTTCGGATTGAGAATGGAGCATCAGTGGCGGAAATCTTGATTGTCCAGTCATCCTCACTAGAGAGCTTTCCACCAAGACAGGTGCCCTTGAGAAGGTTAGAATCGAGAGCCTTTGATATATGGAACAATGGCCTACCCCGTAACTAGATCCTTGACAGCCATTTTTAGGCTCGAGGCCAACAAAGTTGAAGCCTTCAAAGCTCCAATTGTCACCGTTTGCCAACTCAGATAAGTCAAAGCCTTTCTGCTGAACATCCGAGCACTGATTGTCGGTATTGTCCGGACTGGTGTAGCAGACATCCGTACCCCACCACTAATATATTCCAAGGTCAGATTTGTACCTCAAGTTGTATAAATCGAGGTACTCACAAGGCCCGCCGGGTGAGCCAATGCAGCCCCAAAAAGCGAAAGAAGAGCAATCCCCTTCATAATGGACAACACTGTATTAAGTAAAGCCAGTAATCAAATAAGACAATAAAAGAGTGAATGACGCTGAAGTTGAGCGTGGGTCTAGAAAAGAGTACCAAAATGAGAGACGATATTTTGGCGAAGGTTGTCGACTGGATGTTGGATGGCGAGCATCAAAGAGAGCTACGACATGGTCCTTTTTAACCTCATCCCCTAAATCCCTACTCAGGCTTTACTATCAACAAAGCAGACAGTAAAAAAAAAGAATGTCAGCCACTTTGGTACAGGAATTTGGGATCAATCCAATGGTGAGAGTCGAAACTCATCGCGAAGCAGGTGGTTTTACTGGAATCAGGGAGTTCACATCGCTATAGTTCAAGGAATCAATGCAGGGTGAACATTCCAGTGCTAGAAACCCCGAAAGACCAATTAGAACAGTCGGTAACTAGACCCGAACTATAGGGCTCGCTCGAATTCACCGAAAAGTTTAAAGGGTTGGGAAGTCAGGTAAGGAGCTACATCTTATCACCTCAGGGAGAAATATTCAGGTTAGCACAATCCGAAGTGTCCTACAGTTTATTGCTCAAGAGTTTTTTTCTATCTATGAAATGAGCTAGATGTCATGCAATATTTATACTTAGCATATGCATAGTAGGTGTGTAAATCGGTTATTCCGGTTACAGTTGGAAACTTCCAACTTTTCTTCTGAGTTCCTATAAATCAGGGGGTTTTCTGGATCCAAATTGTTGATTCAACAGTACTATCAAAAGCCTTTATTTCCAACCTTGAGAAGTCACGAGGCATCCGCACAAGTAGAAGAGATCTAGAACCCGGAAGAGCCAACTACATACATTCCTGATCGCGCATTCCACCAAGAAGTTGCCTAAAAGGTAGCCGTCGCTCTCGCTTCCCTTTTTAACTCTACCACATCAAATAGACTGCGATCGAGGTTCCAAAGAGAAGCTCATTGTTGACTATGATGCTGTTTCCTAAGGGAAGCTCCATAGGGAACTTACAGAGAGGATGGATAGAGGAAACAGCGCACCACAGATAGCAAGATATATTCACGATCGTGATAATATGCTTCTGATATATTTGGCTGAATGCATAATCAGAGCCGGATCTTGCAGTTTGTACTGTATCTCGAAAACAAATCAGAGATTCAGCAATCAGTCACTGCGCTCAACCTGTGTAGATTGCGCAACGGGATATGATGGCAAACAGGACAGCAATATGAATAATCAGGATAAATCCTCCCACAAAGGGAATATTTTTTGGCTAGGAAGGTGTTCAATATGACTGAGAATATCGTGACGACAAATACTAGCATAGTGCTATCGCTGGAAGTCATAGTGCCATTTACTAAGTGTTAGAGAGCATACCAAACTAAACTACGGGATATTTTAGGACGGTAATATATGAGATTGATCTGAAGTAAAAGTGAGATACGTCCTCCGTATAGAGCATGTAGTTAGGTATAATAACACACTTGTAGTCTGATGTTGGTGACACAAAGTGTGCCGTATGGGCCCGCGCTAATCCTACTTAGGGTTAGCGTATAAACTGAGCCATTTAGGTAGGCGGTGGCGTTAAATTGCCACGCACGGGCCCTCTGTTTCGACAGGGTAGATCGCATCCGATCTCTTTCTATTCTGTCAATTCGTTACCTGCCTGCAACAATCATTGTTTTTATTGCCCATCATGCCTGCCTCACCAGAAGAATCGGCATCTATTTCGCAAGAACGCGCCAGTGGCTCACCTAGCCCTGCTCCGTCGGGCCTTGAGACGGAAGCCAAGCATGACATCGACAGCCAGAAAGACGAGGAAAAGGACGAAGAAACCCAACCAACTGAAGAACCGAAAACGGACGCGTCCAAGTCGCAACCCAATGAACCTGAGCAAGATGAACTGACATCTGCACCACCACTCCCCGCTGAAGTCCCACCACCACTTCCCGCCGAGGCTCCGCCCGCACAGGTCGAGGACGATGGATGGGAACCTGCATGGGACGCCACCGCAGGAGCATATTACTTTTACAACCGCTTCACTGGAGTTTCCCAGTGGGAAAACCCCCGTGTGCCAGAGATCCCAGCAGCACCCGGCACAGAAGACAGCCACCGAAGTACAGCTTCAAAAAAGGAACCAGTCCTCGGTGGCTATAATCCCGCGATACACGGCAACTATGACCCCACCGCACCGTATGCGCAATACCACGAAGAGCCAACAGAGCCCGCGAACGCAGTCGGGTTCGATCCCTCCGCAGCATATGCAGCTACCGGCACATTCAACCGCTTCACTGGACGATGGCAAGCTGCAACGATCAATCCGGATAATCACAATGATGAGAACAAGTCTCGACGACAGATGAACGCTTTCTTCGACGTTGATGCCGCGGCAAATAGCCATGATGGCCGGAGTTTGCGCGCAGAGCGCAGCGCTAAGAAATTGACGAAGCAAGAATTGAAGCAGTTCAAGGAGAAGCGTCGCGAGAAGAAGGAGGAGAAGAGGCGGGCTTGGCTCAGGGATTAGGGGTGGCTAGGTGTTTATTTGAGTTCTGGGAGAAAGGATTGTTTGATGTATTCTCTCGTTGCCACCGGTCGCATTGCCATTTCGGAGCTTTTTGATACCATCCCACCGGACGTGGGACCCGGCGTTTGAGCTTGTTTGATTTGTTTTTCTCTCGGCGTTCTGCCTTGCATATGGGTAGAGGCAGACAGAATTCCTGTCGTCTCTATCCACGGTTGCGCAAATTTATTTGTACAATGTACCATGTATGAACACAAACATCATCTTGACATGAGGCTCTTCTAGTAATTTAAATCTGTATGATGCGCGCGTAGTTATTGGCATCTACGTTCATTCGACTTCTATTGTACCGTTGACTGATAGCCCACTATCAGTCACATGACCCGCGATATCAAATTATTTTTTGCGGCAATCGCTTCATTTGTTGCCGGGATACTCCACGCTAAAAAGCAAAGAACTGAAAGCAAAGGTAAGATTGAATTTACTTTATATTAATTGACTTTAAAAATCGTGGTGAAAAAACACCTCAAACTGCGATTCCCATTTTGTGGCTGGAACATGTCCTTGACATTGACATCCTTATCAACTGGATATATCGCGGGGCCATGCTGTTGTACTACGCAAAAACCGCAGTTTCTCCAGACTCCTTTATGGTTTTATACACATCGCACCCTTTGTTTTCTTGTCACTTGACTTATCATCGCCCAATCGTGAATATCAACATTTTACTGACACCCCACTCCAGCTACATCAAATAAAGTGGGATATCAAAAACAACCCCACCAAGAAAAAAGAAGAAAAATAACAAACACCTGGGTCATCACACATCATGTCTACTTCCACGACATCACAGGCAAAGCCTTCAGTGCCAATCGCACTCTCCGCTGAGGCAGTCGACGATCTGATCTATGACGCCCGAGCAGGCGACCTCGAGGCCCTAAATGAGGACATCGCCAACCTCGCCAGCCAACACAGCTGCAACGAGTCCCAGATCGTGGCATCTGCCATCGACATGGCTGATGAGAGCGAGGGCGGTTCTGGATCCTGCATTCTGCACTTCTCTGCTGCGAATGGAAACTCCGGTATGTCAATTGAATGACTTGAATGACTTGATTTGACTTGGATATGTTTCTACATGTCAAGCATGTCAAATATTCAGTTTCCCTTTACCCGCCTATTTCATGTATTTACTAACATCACTCAGAAATTCTCAAGACCCTGCTGCAAAAGCTGTCATCTGCAGACGCTGCCCAGCGTACCGCATTCGTTAACCACCGCAACAACTCCGGCAACACGCCCCTGCACTGGGCTGCGCTTAACGCACACCTGGAATGCGTGAAGGCTCTTGTCGAAGCTGGCGCAGACCTTGATGTTAAGAACGATGCTGGCCACGACGCTGTTTTCCTCGCTGAGCGGACGGCGTGGGCTGCTGTTGAAGGTGATGAGGATGTCGAGGGTGCTCAGGGCGATGATGCTCAGACTCAGGAGATTGAGATGACTATTGGTGAGAATGAGGGCGAGGAAAAGCCTGCTGAGAGTGCTGGTGAGATGTCTGCAGGCAGACAGGTTGTTGAGTGGCTCCTGGCTTCGGATGTTGGTGCTAGTTTAGAGAAGGGGGCCACTGAGGGTGAGGCTAGTGGATCTACTTGATTTTTATCAATTGAGGTCGGAAATGATTGAAGAAAAGTTTAAGATTTCACGCATAGAATGGGACATATGGGTACTTTCTATTCTTGCATACATTGTTCGTTAGAGTCTATATTTAATGCATTTTGATTCTTTTGTCATAACTTTACATTGAAAGACGCTTCAGGCATTTTGGAATGCTGCTCTAGTATACATAACGTTCATATGCTCTCATCTACACATCAATTCAATCACTGCGGACCTTTTCCGCTACCGCTTCGGTAGAAGGCGACACCTCCACAGGCAGTGGAGTAGAGGGATCAATCTCCCGAACTTTCGCATCGAAGCCGACCTTAAAGCGCCGATCTCGCCATACGACCGTCACACCGCCGTATACTGCCATGATCCAGATAGGCAGGGCTAGCAGTTCGCGGCCGAGCCAGGCGCCAAACCATTGCATGAACGGGCGACGAGTAGTTTGGGATGATCGGTAGCGTTGAGGCCGAGCAAAAGCTGGGGTATCCTCATCCAACTCGATGCATCTTGCGGAATGTAGCTTGATATACAATGTCCAATCGATCAGGATCCAGGAGACCATGCCAAATGCGAGCACGACAAAAAACGCACACCACGTCCCGAAATGGGCAGCAAATTGCACACCCTTCCGCTCAAGATACGGCGCCAAGGCAGTAGTAACGCCCCAGGCGCCATAGATTGTGCATAGGAACGACTCGGTGCCTGGTTCGACAAGCGTAGCGAGTAAAACAGTAAACTTACGGACTCGCAGCCACCGGACACGACGGGCGATGTATGCTGGCACACTCATGTTGGCAACAGGCTGAATAGCCATGTCACCAAATACCATGGCATGCTTGCCCCAACGCTCGCGAAGCTCCTTCTCTTCCCGCACCTGCTTCTTCCATAGCAGATCACCGATTAGATGGTCCTCGCAGATGTTGTCGGAGAAGAAATCGATACCGGGATGACGAGCCTCGGGACCGAGAACCGACGGACTGGTGAGATAGTCGAGATGGGAGCGGCGGAACATGTTGGACTTTCCCACGATGCATGGCGCAACAAGAACCGTGTTGATCGCAGTGTACATTTTCGCGTGCGCGGAGGACAGGAACAGCTCTTCCAAGCGACCGCCTCCAGTGGCTATCATGGCTACAGGCCCATCCTCCGGACGGATGGACGGCATCGCTGCGGCTGCTGCATCGGCATCCGTGGACTGTGGGTTGGCGTCCACGAGCGCCTGTCGCTCTTCACGCAGGTTGCTCTCCCCGGTCACATCCACAGCCACGGGTAGATGGTGCACGAACTTGTATTTCTTGCTCGATGAGGGCCCTGTCCCGCATAGCCTGTCCACCATCCGGGCACAGACTCCCTTCCCGACCCAGACATTGCAGTCAATGATCCAGACGATATCTCCTTTCGCTTCGCGGTATGCGCGGCTCATATTCCGGATCTTGGGATTGGGTCCGAGCGTGTACGTATTGATGCCATCGTGCTGCAAGAGGGGATCTTCGTCTTCGACAAAAATCTGCGCGTCAACATGTGGGAAGTCGGTGATTAGTTTGCGGAGGGTAGGGTAGGCCGGGTCGTCGCGCGTCGATACGCAGAGACGAATGCTGAGCTTGTCGCTCGGGTAGTCCTGTCGAAAGGTGGCAGCGAGGCAATCATAGAGGTGCGGCTCGAGACCCTTGACGGGCCGGATGGCGGTGACGTGTGGTACGTCGGAGGTGGTGGTCGTTAGCCGAGACCGATGCGGCTGGCTGAGGAAATATTTCCATCTGAGCGGAAAGGGATTGCGTTAGTTATATGTTATTTTGAAAAAGAGGGCCGAATCATACATTTGAAAATATCCTAGACCGCAAACTACCAGTATGAATGCATACCATATCAGGGCAATCCAACCGATCGCGACGGACGCATACAGAGCGCCATCGTCAGATCTGCGAAGGAGGAACGAAAAGGTAGGGTTTAGCATGGGATACAAAGGAAAAGTAACAGCAACATAGACGCAGACGAGAAGGACATTCTGTAAAAGAAGAAGCAATTGGATGCGGGTGGATTTCATTTTGGCAATTGGTTGTCTCCGCCCTCACGATGTACACTATACGCGTATTGGACCTGTGGACCAACCAGAGGGCATCTCCTTTCCACACAATAAATAATGCTGATATACTACTTAGGTATTAAAATAGATGCCTGCTCGGAAGCTCCGGATGTAAGCATAAGTACTTATGAAGTTCAATTGTGGTATTATGGCTGCGTATTCGTTTATGCCCGAATGTCAATATAAGGGAAAAAAAAAAAAAAAAACCTGTTTCCCCTAAACTCCTAGACCTATCCCATGATACCAAAAGTAAAAGTAAACTCCCATCATGTTTTCTTCTTCTTCCGGACCAAGCTCGCATTGAGCACATTGACACCAGCTGGCACTGACGGAGCTGGTTGCGTGACTCCCGATTCACTCGGTGCTTGTGTTTCATTTACAACAGGCGTGTTGCCCTCGCCCAATGACTTCTTTCGCTTGCGGATCAATCCAAGGTCTAGGACATTGTTCGTATTGGTATTGGCCGGCTGGCAGGCAGTGTCGCTCGTGATATTGCTGCCGACAACCGTCTTGCCCCATGTAAGCTCGTCCGCGAGGGAAGAAACTTGGTCGACATAGAGTTTCGTACTGGCGACGACTTCTTTCTCGTCATAGAAATGGTCTAGAACCGAATCCATCATCGTTTTGTAGTCTGCTTCGCTGAGAACGACCTGTCCGCGTCCGGCCTCTGGCCAGTCGAACGGGTTGATAGCGCTAGATGCATCATCCCGGGCGAGTCTGGGAGAGGTATCGGCGGTCGTGAAGTTTGCTGTTGCCTTCGTCAAGGTGGCGGAGGCATTCCCCACTTTCTCGTTCGGAATGGGCCCAGAAATCTCTGTTCCATTGGAGACCACGCCGTTGTCAGAGGAACCGCGTGTTTGGCTTTCCATTGACGTAGAGTTCATCAAACCAGGGGGATTGATAACCAACCACAGAAATCCGACTAACCGACCAGCAGAGCATTCTTGGCGGAAGGACATCATCTCCCAGAATTGGTCCAAGGACCGTACGCTGCGCCAGCGGCCGGCATTAGGGGCGACAGGTTGACCCTCACCGGGAAGTTCACCGTCTAGGTCGATGAGGAAACGAGTCTTGGGATCATCGGGGAAACGAGGCACCAAGCAGCGGGGAGGAGCCGATGGGTCATGGTACAATTGCTTCAGTGGGTAGCTGTTGAGCCACCGTGGGCGATCCTGTGGATCGGCTTTGGCCGTAGGAGGGAAGAAATTGCGTGTTTCAAAGCGGTCACAGCTTGGAACGATCAAGTATGCGGTAGCAGAGGCCTTGGCAGCTTCGACTGTTTGATCCAGCGCCTTCGTCTCTTGAAGAGTAGACTCTGGCTCATGCTCACGTAAAATCGGATCTAGAACACGACACCACCACTTGATTAGGCCACGATCATCCAGAACGTGCTTTTCGGCGTTCTCAATGCTGCCCGGGAATAGGTACTGATTCTGAGCGCGGGCGAATAGCGACACGACCAGACGTACACCGGGCCGTTGGCGCGTTCGAGCCAGGAATGAGAGAAATGTATTGGAGACCAGTCTCAGGACAGACACCTTAGTTGGCAATTTTAGGAGATGCAGGAAACCAGTTGAGTCGGCCTTGGAGACGAAGATGGTGGTTAAGTGGGCCGTGTTGTAGACCATCACCTCCATTCCGAAGATGATTGTCTCACCGTCATCATTGGAGTCGATTGACACTGAGAGGAAATGATTTTCGCAGAATGTCGGCTCGGAGACCTGACCCGGCGCAGCTGCAAAGAGAGCTTCGCACGGAGTGGGTGTTGAGGAGACATGGCGAACGGTGATCTCAACCCCGGTGGGGAGAACCTTGGCCAAGAGATCTGCCAGATCTGCCGCCATTCTTGTTCGTCCAATGAGAGTCGTGGAAAAGGTGAAGAGAGGAGCTGGAGACCGCAGCTCGATTTCGCGCCCTTGGAGATCACGTGCCAACAACATTTATGGTCTGCCGCTTTAGGAAGGTCGATGTGTAGATATTCACTTTCTGATCGGGCCGCTCGATTATGTAGATGAAAACAAGACAGCGAACGTCTCAGATATAAATGTTGAGACCAGGTCCTTATTGTAGGATACCTGAATGAAAGAAGATAGGAAGGGCTTATTGCAGACCATAAGCTTTGTGCCTACTCGTTTGTTCAATATCAAGATGAGCTAATATGTGATGTTTAATAGCGTTTGATCTTTATTCTCTTGCCAGATCTTCCTTCTTTCACTTCGCCCAGTCTTTTCTCACACTTAGTCCATCTCTCAACCCAAACACCCGTGGACACAAGCGGAGACATACTGTTGAAGGTAAGCAAACCTGATCAGATTAACATTTTGGTAATTAATAGTTCACCAAACACACTAAGCACGGCTTCAAGTGGAACACAGCCGCATCCTGGTCACGTCGACAGTACCTATCAAGATGTATCCCAGAATCAAAACTCCCGACGTCATGAGTAAGTCTACATTTGTGTTAACTTGTCGTGCTTCGAAAAGCCACTGACCATGCACCGCAGTTAACGACATCATGACGCTCACTGTCTGTGCCCAGTTGCAGATCCGTTACGTCTGTGGTCACTCGACCGGTGGCGAGTTCGTTAAATGTCAACGGCACATGAGAAAAGAGGATGAACGCTGCGTTAGCCGTCAAATCCGGCACATCGATGTCAAGCATTCAACACACAAATGTCGCCTATGCCTGCGCAGCGAATGAGACATGGTATGGAATCCATTCGGCAGGAGTTGACAGAGGCCTTTATCTTGCAAGTCTTGGGAAGGATGAAGATGGAGGGTTATGGCACACATGGATATCACATTAACAGAGGAGCCGATACTGTCTATCTTTGAATCAAGGCAATAACAGAAAGAATCCAACCAGGACTATTGACCTAAATTTCAGCAAAAATCCACTCGAGAGGTATGAATGTACTCTAGTGGCTAGGCGACTGCATGACCTTGGTCCCATTCTTGAGGCCTGGCGTTACTTAGAAGTAAGAAGCCACAGCATCTAGATCATCGGCATTGAGCAGAATGACCCCTTCCCTCAAAAGAATCCTCCAGACAAGGTTTCGTGCACGAATCGGAAAGTACGGCGTGTTCCAATATCTAGCACCAATCCCGCGCTCATTTGCCGTGGCGATTTGGTCTCGGAGAGCTTTGAGTTGGTTGTCTGAGAGGATTGGGTCCGTATCGACAGTTATCTTGCCGACGACTTCCTGGAAATCCGTTGAAGCAATAGGCGAGATAACGCCAGTTATATCAACGTACTTGGGATCATTGAGATCCGCGAGAGGTGCATCAAAAAAGTAGTCTCGGTCTTTGATGGGCGCAACCATGTCGAACGGTGTCTCTCCTGTGCCGATGATAGTGACGGGTCCATTGGTAACGTTCTTGCCATCCTTGACAGTGGTAAGGTAGCCCTTCTCTCGCAGAGGTTCTAAAGCAGCAATCACAGCCTTGAAAGTCTCAGGGCCGGATGTCTTCACATCAATGAAAAAGTAAAGCGTTTGGTCAGGAACAGTATCCCACACGCCACTGTTTCAACAAAACATCAGCAGTGAGACCATGCCGGGCCCTGGCCGGATACTCACTTTTTAGTAGGTGATGATACAAATGGACTCTCGGGGTTCTGACGTTCTAAGACATCCAGAATTGGATTGATATACAAGGATTCAAGAGTTCGGGACTCTGTCAGGGCAGATTCATCATGACCAACCTTGTTTGGTTAGCATGCCACCTAGAAGAACGGCCAAGATATCATAGATTGACCAAACTTACATAGAGGGTGCCATTGTATAGCCAGACATCGGCTTCGGTAGATGTGCAGCCATGCGAGAGACCTGTGCATGATCATGTTAGGGGTGATTAGACATGAGGCACTGGAGCTCCGGCATACCGGTATAGAAAGGCTCGTCTCTCCAATAGTCACTTTAGTATAATCAGTATATGATCAGTAGTCAGAGGTGAGTACCATGAGCAGTAGCCTTACTTATGAGAATGAACAGGAATCTAGATATTCGTGACCCCCCGGGTTAACAACCTTGTCCTCCTGATGGTGGAGGTCCCCACAGAGTTTATCGATGTATGATATCACAGATAGACTCACAGGTAAGAGATCTCTTGTCAGATCAGTGGGATACCTATAGTCTGTGCTGCCGTGTGTGTTTCTTAAGATGCTCTGTAGGCTAGAGGTGATGGCTCCAATGGCTGGGTCCGGACCCGCGAGGAGAGCCACAACAACGCTAGCGAGGAATAACATGAAGGCAGACGGCATTGAATGACAAAATTACCCGAATAATTGATCACCCTTCACGTATCGAGCTGAAGTTGAAAGAAGACGGAATTGAATTGATTGAATTGATTGAATTGACCGAATCGAAGAGGCAAATTGGCCAATGGGGATCGGAATTCGGACTCACGTGTTTCTTCTCCCCAAGGGTCTCAGTGATCATAACATCGAGGTGGAATATTTTATCAGTCGAATATATAATAAAATCCAGTTGATCATTTCAAACCCGTTATTACCTGTCATTGGTCGTTTCCTTGACTATTAGAAAAGAACAGTTGCTCAAGATGCGAGACCAATTAAGAGCTGATCAGATAAATTGCTTAATGGAGAGACTACAAGGAACTAGAAATAATAATGTATGGTATTCGGCCTGAAAGCCAGAAGGTGCCTTAAAAAAAACATGAAAGTCGCAAGACCACTATCGTCCCTCAGGGAGCTCGACAAAGGAAAATACGGAAATTGTTGAAAGAGGTCAAGCTGTGAAATGAAATCTATGTACGTCACAGAAATATGACCTTAAACCTCCCGCACACTTGGCGAAGAGACAGCTCCAGAGTCTTGTGAGTTCCGACCCCGAAGGCTGAGATTTCCGATGCGTTGTACTAGGTTGCTGCCCACAGCATCAACTGCACCCTTGGGCGCAAGCAAGGTCGGGCCTTGAGCTGCAGCTTCTTGGACTCTGAAGAGTTTGATAGCTGTGCCATTCCAGACACCAACTGTTCCTGGGGTTGCACCAGAAGCGGAACCGACTACCATCTCACTGGAGAAGATGAAGCCCCACAGGAGCGATTCGTACCAGCCCATAGAAAGTGCAGACCACTCGAATGATTGCACGCGAACAGGGGTTGGTTCAGAGATTATGCTTGTAACCTCGGGCTCTTCAGCAAATGATGGAAGATTGTGGATTAGTGTACGGGCCTCCGAGCTAACTGTGCTTATAAGCGCTGCATCAGGAATATGAGGCGCAATGGCTGAGATGATGGTGAGGATCGTGTGCAAAGGAAGCTCAGGCAACCATGACTCGAGCTGGGAAATGTTGTTAGTAGTGGAACACAGTGGAAAGGTGGTTTGGTCTACATAGACTTACCCATGGGACAGTTGGTGTGAAGCCACTAGCGGATGGGGTGAATAGAGCAGACATGCTTGTCTGACTGGTCATGCTGTTCTGTCGGGAGAAAGGAGGATGCCCAGCAGGTTTCTTTCCCCGTGCCTTTTCGGACATTGCTCGCACCTGCTGGACCCCGATCTCGTCCGTGGTAGATGTTGTAGAGGGTCTCCGTGAGGTTTGAGCTGAGAATGATGATTGAGATGGAGTCTGTACCCCCTCTTCCTCACGCTCATCATCGGAGTCGTCGTCGCCAATTGCAAATGGGCTGTTCTCTTCAGGGATTCTAGTCAACGGCGACCGGGCACCTGAAGGAGTGTGTAAATCTTCCTCTGACTGTGAAAGTGTAGGGCTGACGGCAACATCTGACGAACTGCCAGCTTTCCTCTTCTCGTTCTGTCGCTCGATCTCTTGCTGGCCACTCTCGAGAGTGAAAGCCCGCACAGCTTCAAAGCGTTGCTTATATTTCAGTATCGAGTAGACGAGATATGGGTTTTCTAGAAAAGGTCAGAAACGGCTGGGCCGAAAGAGAAGATCTGGGTAGGGTATTTACCGGTAAACTTGTGCTCGAGAATAATGTTGATGAAGTCAAGCAACGACGCAAGAAGAGTATGGTTGGTTTCGTTCGCCAACAAGAAGCTGGGCGCAGACATGGAAGAGAAAAGTTGAATGACTTTCGAGCAGGCACTCGGAGAGATGCGTTCGATATAGGGAGCAATGTTGTTGAGGATGATCAATAGCGCAGGATACACAGTATCCAGGTTTCCCTTGCTGGTTGTCATCAACGTGTGAATGGACTGCGGCGGTTAGTATGGCACAGTGCTTTTAGATGGGACAAATGACAAACCATGATCAAATAGTCGGCATAAGACCCACGGAACTTGAGTAGTCGGATCGATTGTGGTAAGGTCTCTTGAGCTTCGAAACTGTTGTTTAGGCTCTTCCCAAACGTGGGTTCCGCACTCATTGTTTGAAGGATGAAAACACACATCCGTACCACTCCTTGTTTGGAAGTATCCATTCTATACTCCATGGCATAGAATATACATAAAACAAGGAAGTCATGGGAACGATTCGAGTCGATGATAAATGATCGGAACCTTTTGTTGCATTGCAAAGTCTCCCAGAATAGGACCAACATCTCAGGAGCCCATTTCACCGACCTTTGACTCCCAGGAAGATAAGAAGCAGTAGCTTGCATCTTGTTTGATCGATTAGCACAATGCTTTAACGTATAATTTAGCAGAGAATAGATACCGGCTGATTCAGAATTCTCGTCATCCCATCCACCAGGAATTGGAAGTCCTGAGGTCTATGTAGCCTGCCGAAGTAATGGCGATAATAATTCTTCGGTGGAGTTCCACGACCGTCTTCTGGAATGGGGTACAACAAGAGAACAAGGAGAAGTTGGACGCAATAAATCACCAATATCTGCCTCGGATCTTTCCAAACAACGTGGTCGTACGGGACTCTCCACGACGCAGGGTTATACTTCATTGCCTGTTATGAATTAGCATGAACCCCACGGTCAATTGAGCAGAACATAGCATACTGTGTTGAGAAGAGAGCAAAGGAGGGTCAAAACAGCCTGCTTATCTTGGCAAGTTGTGATGTAAGTAATTGCCTTGACACCTTGGACTGGCAATGTATCTATAACCAGTCAGTAAAAGTTGTAATAATTTAGTTGCATCAGACTCCGGACTTACTAGATGGCAAATACATGGCCTTTCCAGTCAGAGTAAGCATAAGCCGGAGAATCTCGCATCGGTTGCTCTCCAATGTTTTGTTGGAGCCCATAGCCGTGTTACAGCCAACACCACTCTGCCAAATTGAAAAAGAGACCTTGCTCTTTGCCGTTGGAAGTCGAGGGATTGTAAAGTCGGCAAAGAAGAGCAAGTCCACCAATGTGTCTATCAACTCTTCGGCAAGAGGCTTGACATCTTCGTAATCCTCTGCGCGCGGTGATCTTGTCTCTTGGTTATCCTCCGGCTGTGCTTCGTCAAAGAGGACCTCCCCAGCAATCTGTGATTGTCTGGTCCTTCTCTTTCGACGTGCCCAGAAGAAATTATCCTCCCATTCCTCCAGATGTTCCGCCTCGTAAACATAGGGGAGGAGACGAGTGAGGATCCGAATGCAGTTGAGGACATCACGCTCGGGAGCAAGATCGGGGTCGGGAAACGAGGGATGGTTTTTCAGTACAGTTAGTCGTGAGGTGACTGCGAGTAGGAGCGTTTGGAAGTTGGGCAAGGCGTGATCGCGCGTGCGTCGTATGTCAGCCGGCGTGAAAAGGCTAAAGACATCTTCGGTTGATTCAGGAAGT